CAAACGAGTAAAGACTTGTGTGTGACACTGATGATGACTTGCATTTTACTTTTTAAAAATCTGCATATAGAAATATATACACAGAGGGCCCAGTTTGTACCTGCTGTTGGACACAGCCGCTCCTTCCACGTAGGAGCCTACAATCAGAAACTCTGGTCTGTAGATTTTACTTCTATCCCTCTATCCGTCTTCGAAAGTTAACAAGTAGTTAAAATGTATAACTCAGTCTCCTTTCCCTTCCTTCTATCTCTGGGGGAGAAAAGTGAAACATCCCAGAGGCTGCTGCCAGGAGAAAAAACAGACCTGAATAACCATTGGCTACAGTATGAAACATGTCCTGTAATAGGATTTTATGGAAAAGTTTCTCATGTCAACATTTGCCTCCGCTGTAGCACAGACTGTCTAAGTGGGGTTGGGGAAAAGCTTGGTGATGGAAGCCCTTCCTTAGAAGCGTCATAAAAATCACCGGGTAGTGGTGTTTTATTTTCACTTTTATTTTTATTTATTTATTTATTTTTAGATGGAGTCTCGCTTTGTCACCCAGGCTAGAGTGCAGTGGCCCGATCTCGGCTCACTGCATCCTCTGCCTCCCAGGTTCAAGCGATTCTCCTGCCTCAGCCTCCCGAGTAGCTGGGAATACAGGCGCATGCTACTGCGCCCAGCTAATTTTTGTATTTTTAGTAGAGACGGGGTTTCACCATCTTGGCCAGGCTGGTCTGGAACTCCTGACCTTGTGATCCACCCACCTCGGCCTCCCAAAGTGCTGGGATTATAGGCTTGAGCCACCGCGCCTAGCCTTCGCTTTTATTTTTAGACTTCAGTGAAATTGGTGGCTTGCCCAGAATGGGCAGGGATCAGATCCTGCCTTCGCCACTGTGGTTGCTCATGCTCAGATCTGGTTCTGGCCTTGTCTTTAAGGAAGCAGTATTACCTTGGACAAGTCATTCTCCTCCCTTAACACAGCTGTCTTCTCTAAAAAATGAAAGGATTGGACTGGGATTTTAAAAGTCCTTCCCTTGTTAAATCGCTTAGGCTCCATCATGCTGCAGTGATGTACGACCCCCCAGCCTCTTTGGGTTTCACAAACAAAGGTTTATTTGCTGCCCACCTGGCAGGTCCACTGTGGGTTGTCTGAGGCTCTGCTCCCAGCCGTCTTTGCCCAGGGCTCAGGCTCACTGAGCAACCTGCCCTCCCTGCTCGCTGCAGGTCTCAGAGCAAAGGGAAGCAGAGGCAGAGAACCCGTCACTGGCTCTGGACACTTTTGCTTAGGAGCAACAATTACTTCCCACTTCTATTCTCATTTCATTGGCCCCAAAGCTAGTCCCAGGAGTAACGAGGTAGGTGGGCATGACCCTGTTGGGAAGGCAGCAGACATCTGGAACCGTGGCAAGGGCCCTGCTCTATCTTCACCATTCTGTGACTTACGCTGAGCGTGTTGCATTCTGGGGTGGTAGTATGACCAAAATCAGATCCCAAGGCTTTAACCATTTTACGTGGCTGTCTCCTGTTTGGGGCATATTTGTTGAACTGGACCTGGAATGAAGATTTCACTTGTGGGGAGGGGTGGGGGAAATATTTTAAAAGCAACACCTACCCGGTCTCGGAGTTCCAGGTGCCTTATTTGTAGTTCTGTGGTAACACAGCCCATGCCTTTCACAACACCACACAGACCTGCTCACTCTGAGAAGAATGAACAGAACCGCAAGTAAAACACAGTTGCAGACGTGCTGAGATAAATTCCTCATACATGAATTTAAAAGAGAGCATAAAGATTTTAGCAATTTGGCCGGGCGCGGTGGCTCACGCCTGTAATCCCAGCACTTTGGGAGGCCGAGGCGGGCGGATCACGAGGTCAGGAGATCAAGACCATCCTGGCTAACACGGTGAAACCCCGTCTCTACTAAAAATACAAAAAAACTAGCGGGGCGTGTGGTGGGCGCCTGTAGTTCCAGCTGCTCCGGAGGCTGAGGCGGGAGAATGTCGTGAACCTGGGAGGCAGAGCTTGCAGTGAACTGAGATGGCGCCACTGCACTCCAACCTGGGCGACAGAGCGAGACTCCGTCTCAAAAAAAAAAAAAAAAAAAGATTTTAGCAATTCATCTCTAAATTTTGAAGATATTGTTATGGGGTATAATTTGGAAGGAGTCCTTTGATACTGCTGTCAAAAGTACTGAAGACTCTGTTGATTTGACCCAATAGGGCATTTTTTCAAACTTAATTTTTCAAACTCCTAGGGGAGGAAGTAACTTGGAAAAGTCACTTATTTTCTTACCATCGGATGGGGAGATTCCAGATAGATGAGGCCCCCAGAGACTAGGTGATAGCATGTTCGTTCCCAGTAGTCATGCGTAATAACACTTATTATTAGGACACCTTTTTAATTTTACCCCGAGAAATCTGTATTTAATAAAAAGTTAATCTTTAAAAACAAAATTTAAAAATTTAAAAATATAAAAGTTTACCTTTATTCGAGAAGCATAATTATGTTCACTAATTCTTAGAGGAAGAGCAGAATCCTAACCTAAAACCATTCATTGGGCCTCAAGAGTCAGATGGACTATTTCTAGGTCTCTGAATATGAAAAATATTAAAAAGTTTTCCTTGTGAGCTTGGATTTTCAAAGAGGATCTCTTTGGAAAGTTGGCAAATACTTACTTTCCTGGCATGAAAATTGTTTTTTTTTTTTTTTTTTTTTTTTTTTTTTTCCTTTTCCTCTCCACCCAGAACTGTGACAGGGTGGAGTATACTTCCATGAAATTGCATGTTTCCAAAATAGAATTCACTGTTATATTTTACTACTGTTATAATTGAATCGCTAATGAGAAATAAGCAAAGAACAGGCATTCTAGAAATAGAATTTCAACTCCTGTTGTCAAATTTAGTCACCATGTTCGATAGAATTATCATATTTTATAAAACTGCCTTTTGTGCAAAATTGTACCAGCCAAACAATTTCCAAAGTGGTTTGAATTTCATTCTCATTTCTGCAGTCTTACATAGTAATACCCACAATCTCGTGGTAATGGCACCGTATCATTGCTGCTGTTTAGATTCTCTCCTAGTTTGGATGGCTTCCAGGAGAGAGCCCTGCTTTCTTCAGCTCCTTGTTTTTATATTTCAGCAAAATCCTACATCCAGCCTACATGATTAGAAACGTTCCTGGTGTTCCTTGCTAGTGGATTGTGAGTCACCGTTTCCTAGGATAGAATGGATCTGTAACAGAGCTTGCTGACAAATTATAGAAGTAATAGCTGTAGATGAAAGTTGGAAGCAGCAGATTTTTAAAAACTAGAGATATTGTTTTGGTGGCAGATTAATTGGTTACTGGTCTACTTCCAAAGGTATTCTCTAATAAATTATCTTAGCTGATCATTTTCACCTCTAAAGTGACAGGTAACAAAGCTCTACCTCTAGCAGATAATGCCAAGATAACACCTTTTCAGACGTTTTACCCCTTGGTTCTTAGTCACTGAACCCTTAGATAGTACACTAGAAAAAAACATGGTCACAGTGGTCAAAAAGATATATGCATCCTTGTAAGGCAGAGACTGTTTTAGCACTCTCCAAGATACTCCTCAGCATCTAGCAGACTTACGCCCATAGAAAGTGCATGATAGCTATGGGTTAAAATATCTGTTTGGCTTCCTGGCTTAGAGAGCAGCAAATAAGTCAAAACCACACCAGAAAGATGAGAAGGAATGAATGGCATGAGGATGAGATTCAAACGTTTTATAATTAGTAGGAATCGGTGAAATTTACCATTCTTTCCTACCTTGAGATTTTGCTTTTTGTTTTGCTTTGTGATTTTTTCTAGCCCATATTAGGTTTGACTAAAAAGGATTTTTAAGAAAGTCCCAGTGTTTGCCCTTCTGATTTGAGTATAGGTTTTTCCCACCAAAGAGTGGCGTGGTTGTCTTTATTCTGTTCAGTACACCCAAGAGGAGAGAAGAAGTGTGGGACTCTACTGGAGTGTACACAGAGCCCAGTTCCTTCCCTCAAACAGGCATTGGATTGACTTATGTCTAATGATGCCTGTGACATCATCATGGGAGAGCCAGCAGTAATTAGCTCTCAGTGCCGATTGCCTCTCTCCAGGAAAGTTGGGCTTTGGTTCACTTCTGGGTTCCCTTGATTGAGATGCCAAAGTGAAGTTAAAATACAGAGTTATAGTTACCAGGAGCAAAAGCATTGTTAGCATTTACCAGGAATTAATGCTAGTAAAGTGTGATTGTTGTAGTTGTGACTATGTGTTGAGAGTATGGTCAAAGGAAGTGGAGTCCTGGGAAATAAACGTCTTGAGTGAGAAGTTTTCTAAATGTTTTAGGTAATTCTAAGAGTGCTGTTTTATTGGTAGGGAAACAGTACACTGTGTTAGCTCCTGAGGGCATTTGTCTAGTCTGAGACTTGATGTGTTTGGGCATGATTCTGTCCATCTGTACTGTGCTGGTTTGAGAATTTACTTCAGTTTGGAAAGTTGCATCAGATTAGATTTTTCTGATTCACAGATGTGTAAGGTCAAAACTGTATATCATTTTTTAGTGGAATTACAAATTACGTGGCCTCTTTGTGATCTGCCTTACCAAACTTTTGAGTTTGAAAGGCGATGTGTTTCTAGAATGCACTCAGGAACGCACACTGTTGAATGTAACTTTGGCAGTTGTGTTGTCGTGGATCTCCAGGTGTGCAAAAGCATTTTCATTCTTGGACTCTGTTATGAAGACCTGGTCCTTATCAGTAGTTTATCCTGCTGGCCTGCAAATAAGTGATGTGATGAGAATCCTCTCAAGCTCAGAACGAACAGGATGTGGCACCTGCTACATCAAACAAAGATAAACACAGGCAGAGGTCACTTTCCATCTTTTATAGAAATGGCCTTTATCAGCATCACGGGCATATCCTGCTGTGTACACAAGGTTTTACATCTAGAGGCATCTATGTTGTGGGAATCTATTCCAAGTATGTGTTTTTAAGGTTGTTTGTTCCTCTATTCCCATGAACAGATATCAGTATTATCTGCAAGTCAAAAAAGATGTGCTTGAAGGGCGATTACGATGTACATTGGACCAGGTGATTCGGCTAGCCGGCCTAGCTGTGCAAGGTAAGACATAGTTATGAGCAGCATGTGAAATTCCATTTTCTGTTTGATCATGGTATTACCGTCCTCTCAGAGTGAGAAGTTAGATTTACTTAAATGATCCCTTAGTAATGCTCCCTTTTTATTTCAAGTTATCTTACGTGAAAAATGCAAAGTTAGTGATTTTTGGTGGCCGGGTGGTAGATTTCTCAAAGCTGTTTGCAAACTGCTCATGCTTGTATAATTACAGTTTTATTTGAGGAAATAGCAGCTTTTATTCTGCCTTTAATTAAGGCTACATTTCAGGGTTTGTGGAGCATTTTCTCAGAATTATTCCAAGGCACAATGTGGTCATATTCTGTGGCTTGATGCTGCAAAGGTGTTACTATCAAAACGTCTTGGAGTGTGATAGCTTTAAACATTATGGTATAATGTATTCTAATGCCATTAAAAAGATAAATTTAAAATCCATGATTGTAACGTGAAACAACAAATGTGTATTGGACTGAGTTTATCTTTCAACCCATCCTATATAGGTTTATATTATTACATAGCTCTCTTTTGCCTTCTCTAAATTGTTATGTGTGGAACTTTATATGTATATTTTATACATTATGGTTTATTGAGTGGTGGCTTAACCACCTTCGGTCATATTGAAAGCAAGATAGGCTGGTGTGGTGGCTCACGCCTGTAATCCCAGCACTTTGGGAGGTTGAGGTGGGCGAATCACTGGAGGTCAGGAGTTCGAGACCAGCCTGGCCAACATGGTAAAACCTTGTCTCTAATAAAAATACAAAAATTAGCCAAGCATGGTGACACACGCCTGTAATCCCAGCTACTCAGGAGGCTGGAGCATGAGAATCGCTTGAACCTGGGAGGTGGAGGTTACAGTGAGCTGAGATGACACCGCCACACTCCAGCCTAGGTGACAAAGCTAGACTCTGTCTCAAAAAGTAAAAATTAAATTTTTTTTTTAAAGCAAGAAGATGGTAATATAGTTTTTGAAAAGAAACTTTTCCTTTTAGTCATTTTCTTGAAAACCAGGTTCTCTGCAAGTGTGAGCCAGCCAGCAGCTGGGTCCTTGCTGCATGGACTGTTGTTTCAGAAAGCGTGAACTGCCTTCCCATCCCAGACACTAGACTGAATTGAATCATCTCAGATCTAAATGTCTGAAGAGTCAACCCTTCTCCTGACCTCTTTCATTCTGAAGTATTAACAACTTAACGATTTCTGTTAGAAGTACAATTTCTATACTGTTAGCTTCTGTTGTAATTCTGTGGATGGAAACAGGCAAAATCTGATGTATCACCTCAGTCTGCTTAAAGACTGGAGGGGAAGAAACAATGGCCAGTTATGATAGAGAAATTAGAGGTAGCATTGTTGAAATAATGGGGAAGACCAATATGTCCCTCATTGTCAAATTGGGTCTTTCTCCTTTTAAAACACTTCGTTGGGCCAGGTGTGGTGGCTCATGCCTGTAATCTCAGCACTTTAGGAGGCCAAGGCGAGAGGATTACTTGAAACCAGGAGTTTGAGACCACCCTAGGCAGCAAAATGAGACTATGTCTCTACAAAAAATGTAAAAATAAAAAATTAGCCCAGCATGGTGGTGCGCACCTGTAGTCCCAGCTACTCAGGAGGCTGAGGTGGGAGGATCGCCTGAGTCCAGGAGCTTGAGGCTGCAGAGGGCTATGATCAGTTCACAGCACCCCAGCCTGGATGACAAAGTAAGACCCTGTCTCTAAAACATAAATAAATAAATAAATAAATAAATAAATAAATA